GTATGACAACGCCTCGGCGTTGGATACGGCTGGCTGAGGCCGGCTTATTGACCAGAAATGGCCATTCGAGTCTCTCCTGCCGTTGTCGGCAATGCTGGTTTGCATTGATTAGGCAGATAGCTAGACACAGACGAACTTCGATTTCAGGAAATATTTTGGCCAGTAATCCAGACATCAGCTCTGATATAAGCGTTCTCTATGCGAGAGCATGTTTTGACCAGGGTTATGATTAGCTTAATAAATGCAGAATAAGAAGGAAAATGCATTTTTTTGGTCTATATGCATCCCACATCTCCAGCCATAGCAGACATATACACGCAATAAAGAATATGGACAAATATCAGCGACATTGGAATAGCCATATCTGGCCTTTCGGCAGTCAGCAGCCACTCATTCCTAACACCAGAGACTTTGGTTTTTATTCCAGCGATATATCCACCGAGTCATGCGCCCGCTTACCGACTGAGCCCCCGTCCGAAACGGCGATCGGTAAATGCCCGTGGGAATTTTCAAGACCGGTTTCCCAGGTCGTCAGCATACGCCGACAGAGATTAAATGTGTCAAAATTTCTTCATATCAGCACTATGCAGATGACAATTTGGGATTTTCGAGGCACATCGGTTAAGTCTGCTTCATTCGAGTCTTAACCTTCGATTTCTGCCTATCGATTTGCTTTTAAAAGGGAGACAGATGGTAAATTCCGATTCATTCATGTCCATGTACGTCGAAAACTGATGGATCACTTCAAACGCCAGCTTACCTCAAAGGTTATTTTCAGACACTGTTGAGAGGAACACACATATATTCGTAAGCAATGTTTCTGGCCCCTGTATTTGTGCTCATCCACTTGCTAGTGCAAGCGTTACCCGAAAACAGTGTCAGAATTTCGAATGTTAGAACACATTTTTTGTAAGCTCTCCACCACATTCAGGGAATCGGGTTCTCTGAACGAAGATGGCAGATGTAGGAAGATGAAGATTAAAGGAAATTCTCCGGAGTGTAGGTTCGTGACATTACAATTTCTAGGCAATGTGTATTTTAGCAATGCGTTAGGGCCATTTTGAAAAATCAGTTCGTCACACATGTAGTTACACGGTTAAATTGAGGATTCATTTTCGGTCTCTACTGGATAAACTTAATAAGTTAAAAATGAATGGGTACCCTATCGAGTGGTTGATTCCCGCACCAAGAAAGAACTCGACATTTGAGGAAGCAGATGCACCACCTGAACGCGATGAAGTAATTATTTACGATAATTCCCAAATAGACCTGGACAAGCAATCATGCGGTAATTGACAAATTCCACACCCAATTTTCCGAAGTCCACCGAGTAATATTCATCGCACCGGAATTTCATGTCATTCGGCCATTTGTCTGGTGAAAAAACAGACATGGTCATTGATCCTTTTGGATAACTGATATAATTTCAAGAAGGTTCCTTAAAAATACACTAAATATTAAGGGTCACTGGGTTGACAGACTCCTCATCTCCTCCTCTTCTTCTTGTCCTTTTTCTTCGGCCACTCCAACGGGATGCTGACATGGCGCCACACAGCTCTGCCGGCCCTCTTGGCACCCGCCCAAACCTTCTTTCCAACCCGTCCGACCACTCGCGCACCCGCTCTAATGGCGCGTCCGGCGAAGCGTCCAAGTGGCCTCAGTGGAATCCGCGCTGGGGCCAGGACCTCGTCTCCGTGCAGCTGGGATTCCTCCCACTCCTCCTCCGCCGTAGCGGTGCTCACCTCGTCCACCAGCTGGTCGAGGTGTGTTGCGTCTTGAGACTGAAGGGAAGCCGCTAAAACCGTCAGTCCAAGGAGACAGAAAAGCACCACCGGAAATTGCATGTTGTGCTATGCATGAACAATGCTCGCGGACGTTTATATATTGAGGCAGAGGACTGAGACTACCGTCAGTGATCGCATCTACGGGGGCGTAGGCTGCCATGAAGTAGAGAGGCGTTTGTTTACTAGGTTCGGAGGCGTTCGAGGTCCGGACACGTGTACCCGAGTATGCCACGTGCTGGGAATTAAACTTATACTCTCGTCTACCAGGACCACTTCAGCTACCATTTCCACATTAGTTAAAACGGTAAGTTTACGTCGAATGGATTGTGACTAAAAGATGGAATTTGTGAATAGGCTGTGAGAGAAGTTAAGTTTGCATTTTCAAGGAAAATTGAGTTAAACGATATAAATAGTGAATAGTGTTTTTGTGTCTCAAGTGATAACTCGGCCTGAGGATGTGGCTACAGAATGTGTAACGTTGAAAAATGTTCTTATTTTATTATGCGTTAGATGGATATTTTAATAAGCAAAAGTACCCAATTTTCCATGAATTATTGTTGACAATACTTAGCTTATCTGTTTAGCTATGGGATCCATCGCTGCACTGTGGTTAGATCATGCAGGGGGATCGTGGATTTGCAAAGACGTCCCGTCATACGGAGAAAAATTATATATGACATCATGAATGTGGCCCATGCAGCAGGATTTTGACGTCAACTGCAGAAGCGCAAATAGCCACAAACGCAGTTGAATAAGGCTACTGTACGGGCATGCCGAGATGCATCACGAAGAAACACATGGCAAAGTTGCTGAATTAAAATATCTTGAACGGGTTCTTTTAGCGAATGTCTGCCAGCGCAAATTCGTCAGACGCTGCACATGTTAGGGGCTCGGAATCCACTCAACCGCTTTCTCACAACACGCAGGTTATCAGCGTCGTAGAGATTGGAAGCAGCATCCAAACCTGATGTCACAAGGCAGAAAGAGCCGCCGTCCCGTTAGAGAATGACGTTTACTAGATCTGTTGCAGTTGAGGACAAACCATCGCCATCGGAGAAATTGGACGATAATTGCGAAAGCGAATAGCAGAAAATGCAACATCAGTGAGGCGGAAAAACGTCAACTACTACATTGCAGCTAATTCAAGAGCAAGAGTGTCCACAAACATGAAAATCATTCATTCCTACATTCTGTTTCCTCTTTTTTTGTACATCCATGTCGCAGGCTGTGACTCTGAGGCGCTGGTCACCACGTCCACCCACGCCCTAGTGCGCGTTTGCTGATAGGATTGGCATACACACGCACACACTGCGCTGGTCGCGGTTCAATGCCTATATAAACAGACGCCCCGCCCCGATCTGAACATCAACATGCAAGCTCTCACTTCACTGCTCCTCCTCCTACTGCTCAGTATCACTGCACTCGCCACATCCTTCCATCTTCGGCAAGAGGATGAGGCGGAGTTAATGGATCTCGCCAAATCGGCGTCAACTGACTTGCCGGACGAGGGCGCCGAGGAGGAGAAGGTGTTGGCACCTGCACGAATTCCGGTGAAACCGATAGTGCGAGGTGCCTGGGAGTTGGCGAAGAGGCATGGACCGAGAATTATGAACGGTGCCAAGCGTGCCATCGGTGCCGGTGTGCGAAAAGCGAAGGCGGTTGGTGGGAAGATTGTGCGGGGTGCGAAGAGGGCGGGCAAGGCAGTGTGGGAGAGACTGAGCGTTCCGGTGGAATGGCCCTTCGATGATGACGACGACTGATGCTCAGGCGGCTATTACTGTCTCTGATTGGCCAGATCTTCAAAAGTATTCTACTGTACATTCTTTGCTTTATGCAACATATTAAATGCTATTTTCCTAAAGTTGTCTTTTGAAGGGACTATGGGCTGAGATGGAGCGTGTTTAGGTTGGCTTATGCTCGTGGGCATTAATCGAAGCATTCCTTTGAGAGAATTGTCGAAAAGCTCTCACACTTTTGAAGTTGAAAAATTACACTTTATGGTCACTGCATACGTGAGAAATGAATCCTGGTCCAACATATCTGGTTTTAGATAGCAGCAGCATCCCGGCATCTCTGCAAGTGCTTCTTCTTTTTCTTGAGCTCGCGCCTAAGTAATCCCTCCCAATCTAAGACGCATTTCAGAATTCCAGCCAACATTTCATGCGATCGTTTACTCACTGTATGTCTCCGACTCCCACCGTGGCTTGGAAATTATCTGACTGGGGTATTTACTCGGCCATAACGTTTCATTTCCCCTACGACCATCATGACAACCCCCGATGACAAAAGTCGGCACGTGCGTGGCGCGTGCAAACGCGGTTTTTTCAAGTCGGTCGGCGTACTCACGCACAACCTCGATGACCTCACCGAACTTTACCTATGGCACACTATAATTAAACTGAATGGAAATTCACTCCTTATATTCCTGGACACTGATGTTCATCGTTGCCTGCGATGTCTAAAGTTCCACAGGAGAACTTGCACCGACTGCCTTTTAAAAG